CTTTGTTATATTGAAATATTCTTCTGTTTTAAACGATTTCATTTACTCAGATATAGTTAATCATTTCAATTATGAACTATAGATAAACTTTTTTATCTTAACCCTTTGGAGACGGGTTTTTTTTTCTGTATAGCTCATCCTAAATCAATCAACATTTTTATTTTCTAAAAGAACTTATTATCCATTACTGGATATCTGAATAAAATAACCTAATTACAATCCAAATTATACCAAAAAACTCTCTGATAAATGCTCTCACAAAAACTGATCTCATATAGGAATCTGTATGTTTTGAAATGCTAGAGAATCACCATGGCCCCTTAAGGGGCCAACAGTCCCCAAAGGGTTAATTTAATGCAATTAAATTTTTCAGAAAGAAAATCAGAAATAGTAGGATATTTGTATTCGAACTCTTTGAGTATATTTTTAATCATACTTTCGTATCTGTTGAACAGTGTTTTAAAGAAGGCTAAAATTCTGAATTTTTATATCCTTTAAAATGCTCTTTCATCAATTAATTTCGTTAAGGAAATCATACAATGGACCATCTATATCCACAAGCTAGTATTAGTCGAAAGTTTGTTCATTATTTTAAACATTTCATCCATAGTGATAAGGATCATATCTCAGTGAATATTACACATATAAAAAAATCTTTGTTTTTTAGAAATGTTCGACATGAGTTCATGTACTGATATAACATGTGATGATGCAATTAAAGAATTATATGAATGTTATTGTAATCTACGTCTTGTTTGTTTACATCATTCAATTGAACAGTTGAAATAACAAAACAAAATAAACGACGATTAGATAATGTTCGTGATGAATTAAATACTGTTATAGCAACATTTGCACTAATTGTTGAAAAAACAAAACTATTGAGAATTGGACGCGAACAAAATTCGATTGAACAAGCAAAAAGATTTCTTGATGTACCAAATAGTTCAATTGATGAAATACAAAATATTTTTGAACAAGTTAATCAAGTCATTTCATCAACTAGTTCAGGTAAAAACTAAATTATAAAATCGTTCGTTTTGTGTTTATTGGTTCTTTTTTTTTTTGTTTTAATTTTAAAAATGATGGTAAAAGTCGAACCTGT